CTGTATAAAAATGTTCATAGCAGCATTATTCATAATAACCAAAACTGGTATCAATCAAACATCTATCAGCTGAGGAATGGGTAAATAAAATGTGATATATCCATACAATGGAATAGGATTCGGTGATAACAAGGAATAAACTATTGATACACATTACAGCATGAATGAATCTTGAAAACATCATGCTAAGTGACAGAAGCCATACTCAAGGTTACATACTGTCTGATTTCATGTACATGACATTTTGAAATCAGATGGGTAGTTTTCTGGGATTAGGAGAGGGGATAGGATTGATTATAAATTGGTACAAGGGAACTTTTTAGGATGCAGCAAATATCTTCAATGTAGTGATTACATCACTATACAACTGCTGAAATTCATTATATGCAAATTATGCCTCAATAAAGCTGCTCTAAAATTTATTTACTTTTTTACAAACAGGGTCTCGCTCTGTTGTCCAGGCTGGAGTGTAGTGGCGCGAACATAGCTCACTGCAACTTGAACTCCTGAGTTCAAGTGATCTTCCTGCCTCAGGAGTAGCTGGGACTACAGGTGGGTGCCATCACACCCTGCTAATTAAAAAAAATTTTTTTTTAGAGACAAGATCTCACTATGTTGCTCAGGCTGGTCTTGTACTCCTAGCCTCAAACTATCTGCCCGCCTCAGCCTCCCAAAGCGTTGGAATTACAGGTATGAACCACCAGGCTTGGCTCGCCAAAATTGTAAATATATACATAATAATATTGATGCATTAAAAAATGACTCTATACTTATCTCTTGTGGGATTTGGATGTTTTTCATTTTCTTGTCTTTGCTATCAAAATTTTGTAAAATTTCCACAATGATTATGTAGTGTTTTTGTAGAGAAAACAACAACAACAATAAAATGCCATGAACATAAATAATTGGGTTATTCAACAAGGAATATAGTGTTGATTCAACATTGTTTGCTTGTAATGAAGCCCATTTGGGTTACCTCTTTCTCATCTGTCTTTCCTCAGTGGCACTTCTGAGGGGTGAGCTGAGGAAACAGATGCAAAAAGGTACAGAGCTTAATAGCAATGCTTTGTCCATCCAGGCTTGAGCTTGGCTCTCACCTTGCTCTTGGATGAATACACAGTAGACTAATGATAGGGGGCTCTCATCTTGCTTTGCCAACTCCGCCCTCCATTCCAGCCCAGATCAACTCGTGCGTCCTCCAGGCCCCAAGAGAAAGTCTTCAGTATAGGGCTGGGCAGACTGTGGTTTGTGGGGTCCGGGTTGGGCTCCCGCCTTAGGCTCACATGGGTCTGTTGGGCACTGCGAGGTCTTGGTGAAGTCAACGGGCCATTCATCGATGGAGACCCATGATGAGAATGACCACTCATGCTCCTCATGGCAGGACAGGACACGGAGTCCCTCCACCAGCCCCTCTGGGTGGGGATGCTCAGTGTCAACAGGCCCCTGGCCCTTTCCCCCCCGCTTACAGATCCAATTCATCTCCGAACTTTCCGCTTGGGAAAGGGCAGTCACCTTAAGAGACCTGGCCAACCAGTAGGCAGAGGATGGCATGTTAGGAGATGTCCACATTGCTTGCCCTTGAGTGCCTTGGCTGCACAGGACCCCTGACTGGTGTCAGGACACAGGAATCCATGAGGATAATAAAGCTATAATTATAAAATAGCTTCATAAAAATATCCTGTGGGGAGAACATGCAATTTTCTGTCCACCCTACTCAAGAAGTTAAGCCCAGTTGGAGAGGGCACAGGGGAGTGAGACAAATCACACCTGTCCTTGAGGCCTCCACCTTGTCACCCATAAAAGCCTAGGCAGGAGAGACCCTAGGTTCTCAGGCTGAGGGTCTCTGTCCTTAGGGTTTATACAGGCATTATTTTCAGGCACTACTTACAGATCTAAAAACTCCACCCATCATTCACAATAGTCAAAAGGTAGAAACAAGACAAGTGTCCATTGATGGATAAACAAAATGTGGAATATCCACACAACAGAGTATTATTCAGCCTTTAAAAGGAAGGAAATTCCAACATATGCTACAACATGGATGAACTTCAAAGACAAAATACTAAGTGAAAGGAACCAGTCAAAAAGGATAGACATCACATGATTCCACTAGATTGCAGTACCTAGAACAGTCAAATTCAGAGACACAAAGTAGAATAGTGGTTACCAGGGGCTGGGAGGAGGGGGTTGGGCGGATATTGTTTAGTGGGTATGAAGTTGCAGTTAGACATCCTTTTTAAAAAGATTCTAAAAATGGATAATGGTGATGGTTACACAACAGTGTGAATGTATTTAATGCCACTGACTTGTACACTTAAAAATGGTTAAAAATGTCAAATTTTATATTGCGTATTTTTACCACATCCACAAAGAAACAAATTCCCCACCCAAAAGACCTCACTGCTTCATTAAGCATTGAGTTGTGCCAGTGTCATTCAGATCAAGTCTCTGAATGACCAGGTATAGTCTCTGATTGATTTCTAAAAAGAAATAAAAATAACAGCAAGATACGTGAAGTGTGACCTATGCAGTTTTGTTTGTTTTTGGCAGTTACAAACTTTCGAAGCATGGTATCTTTGGAGGAAACAAAACAAAGGGGCCATGATGGAAGGTTGGCACAGTTGGCTTGGATGAGTGCCTAGGTAGTCTTTTCCCAAAGACTCTGATTTTGTGTTTGGGCAGGCCATGCTAAAGGATCAACACATCCCAGAGATCAGACAGTGTCTTCAAACAGATCCCACAAAGTCACAGGAATAGGCATTTGGGGGATGAGATGGCCCTTTCTCTGGCCTGTTTTTAGAGCCTGGAGTCACAATTCTTCATAGCTAACAGTCGGGAACTCTCTGGCGTGTGTGACATAGGACACTGATGCAGCATGCATGGCACCAGCTAATACCATTGAGGGGCGGGATGGCACACCTTCTCTGAGACCCTCATTCATCACCCCCAGAATCCTGAACAATGAAAGGAGCATGATGGATCCTGGCAACCTGCTCAGCACATTAATTTAGATAATATACACAGAACATCTCAGGCCGGAAATTAACAAGAGGGAACACAATAGGCTCTCATTTCCCAGACCAAGAGTTTGTGCGCCAGGATTCTGGCTCTTTAAGCGTTCTGGTTCACTGTTATATAAAAAACCTTTTGGGGGAATTTCCAGCTCTCCTCCCTACCGTGCCCACCTTCCTTGAAAGGCAGCATGCAGTGTGGGAAGAACAATCAACAAACAACTTCTAATTCAAATCCTGACCCTCACTGGCCCTGTGACATTGGCCTTTTTGAGCCTCAGTTATTTTGTTTGTGAAATGGCAATAACAACATCTCTGTCAACCTTATTAGTATGATTCAAATGAAACAGTGTCTGGGGGCACGCTTGAAGAATCTGTTGTATGACTGCTTAGGAATTTTCTTTTGCCCCTATGCTCAGAACGTCGAGTGGTATAAACAGGGTCAAGTCACTGTGTGTCGATCAAGGAAACAATCGAGCCTCAGAGCTCTGACCCCTGGAAATATTTCCTTTTTGCTCCTTACATTTCTAGCAACACCATGTTTTCTATAGAGGTGAGGGGAAGATGTCCAGTTGACTGCAGGAGACAGGCTGCGCAAGCATCACCGGAGGCAGTTCCATTTTCTCTCATCTCCTGGAGAGACGCCTCCTTTCTTCAAAGTGGTGCAGGTGTGCTTCATAAAAGCTGGAATAAGTAAGGGATCTCCTAGCCGGGCTCCGAGGCTCAGCCTGTAATCCCGTGCCTTGGGAGGCCTGAGCCTGCAGGCTTGAGACCTACCTGGGCAACTTGGCGAGACCTCATCTCTATAATAAATCAAAAATGAGCCAGGTGTGGTAGCGCACGCCTGTAGTTCCAGCTACTTGGAATGCTGAGGCAGAAGGATCACTGAAGCCCAGTAGGTAGAGGCTGTGGTGGTCGGGAGCGGCCACTGCACTCCAGTCTACGCGACAGAGTGAGACTCCAACTCAGAAAAAAAAAGGGGGATCTCCTGACCCCCAGCCTCTTTAGGGTACATGAGTCATCCGTGCTGTAGAGAGGTCGGTTGGCCACCTTCTCCCTCCCAAGAAGCAGGGAGGTGAGGCCCCAGGAAAGGCTTTGGACTTGCAGCCCCAGGGAGCATGTGTTCCCAAGGCGGAACATGGGTTCTTTGCTTTCTCTTCCTCCTTGTCTATGAGTAAATAAACAGATACTTCTATGTAGCCTTGCAGCTTCCTGTCACATAATACATTCTTGTCTTGGTCTGGGTGACATGGGTGGAGAGAGTCTCCTCCTCCCTTCAGACTCAGAGGGCAAGACCTAAGCGCACTGCAACTGTAGCAGGCCCCCCAGGGCTCTCTTTGAAGCTGCTCAGTTGTGGCGAAGTGGAAGAGAATGGCTCGGGACACTTCTTGGAACAAGAAAGACACACCAACACATTAGAGCTGGTAGGAGGGGCACAGCATGTTCTCCCAGGAAAGGGTCAAAGGCAGTGGTTTCAGTAACAACACAAGAGACTCTATAACACGAACACAAAGCATCAAAGGACAGGCCAGCTTCACTTTTTGCCTCTTCCCAACGGCCGAATTCACTGTGCTCCACCTAAACGGCTGTTTTGAAGCCAGCGGGAGATGCTAAGGACCATCCAGGCAAAGGAGTCAGACTGGCTGGCATGAGACACCTTGGGCTAGTCACAGCTCCTCTCTGGGTCTCAGTTTTTGCATCTATAGGAGGAGGATAAGAAAACCTATTTCCAAAGGGTTGTGCAGATTCAGTGAGATGAGGTTTGTCAAGCCTACCCCACAGAAGGACCTCAGGGAACGTCAGCTCTCCCTGTCCCTCATTTGCTTCTAACAGAGGGTGAGGGTAGTAGAGAAGACATCACCAGCAGCTGCCACTACCTCGTTTTGGAGAAGGAGGTACGATGCACCCTCTTCTAACCACACCAGGCAGCTATCACGCCCAGGTCCCGCATGTCCAGCCGGGGCCCTCAGGTAGGGGGCCTGTCCTCCCTGGACCACCTCAGATATCCCAAGCCGGTATGGTGAGGGGCAGATGGGAGCAGCCAGGACCCTCCCCGGGCAAGCCACGGTGGGCCACCTGCCCATTCCGCAGCGGCAGGCGGCCGGGCCTGGGGGCCCCGCTGCTCCGGCCGGACTCAGAGGGCAGGCCCGAGTCGCTGGGCTGCACCTCCACGAAGACCCGCCCGCGCAGGAGCCCGCCGGGTCGCTCGGAATAGGCCTCCCTGTGGCTGCCCCAGGGCAGCGGGCAGAGGCGCGCACGGAAGGCGGCCTGGAAGCCGCGTCGGAAGGTCTCGTTGAAGTAGCCGTAGATGATGGGGTTGGCGCTGCTGTTGAAGAAGGCCAGCCAGTGGGCGAAGGGGAAGGCGTAGACGCTGACCAGGTGCAGCTGCGGCGCGCTGAGCCGCCCGTAGTCGATGAGCAGCAGCAGCGCCCAGAGCGGCAGCCAGGAGAGCGTGAAGAACAGCGCCACCATGACCAGCATGTGCACCACGCGCGCCTTTCGCCGGGCCGCGCGCCCGCCCTCCCCGGCCTCCGCGCCGCCGCGCGCCGGGCCCGCCGCCTGGTACAGCTTGCGGGCAATGCGCGCGTACAGGACCACGATGAGCGCCAGGGGCGCCAGGTAGATGTGCGAGAAGAGCACGGCGGTGTAGACCTTGCGCATGCCCTTCTCGGGCCAGGCCTCCCAGCACGAGTAGAGCGGGTAAGAGCGGTTGCGGGCGTCCACCATGAAGTGGTGCTCCTCGCGCGTGACGGTCAGCGTGACCGCCGAGGGACACATGATGAGCAGCGCCAGGGCCCAGATGACCGCGATGGTGACCAGCGCCTTCCGCCGAGTCAGCTTCTCGCGGAAAGGGTGCACGATGCAGCGGAACCTGCGGGAGCCGGGGAGGAAGAGAGGCGGGGGTCTGGCTGGGTCCCGGGGTCCCGGGGAGGTGAGGGCTGGCGGAATCGGGGCGCTTGACATGCCTCACCGCACCTAAGGCACCGTCAAAGAACAGCTGGAGGACGTTAATTAGGGTCGCTTGCAAGCAAACCGGTTTTTCACCTATGAGGAAAGTCTAGGAACAAAAGCAAGCCAGGATTTATGGGAGGGGAGGAGGAAAGGGCAGATAGTATGGGAACAGGGAATCGTGTTTGCCCACTTTTTTTTTTTGAGTTGGAGTCTCACTCGGTCGCCCTGACTGGAGTGCAGTGGCACGCTCCTGGTCATCGCAGCCTCGACCTGCTGGGCTCCGGAGAGCCTTCCAACTCAGCCTTCCGAGTAGCTGGAACTACAGGCGCCGGCTACCACGCCTGGCTAATTTTTGATTGATTGTAGAGATGAGGTCTCCGACCCACGGGCTCAGGCAGTCCACTCACCTCGGCCTCCCAAAGCACTGGGATTACAGGCTGGGCCACCGAGCCCGGCCGTTTGCCCACTCTTAACGGGGAAACTGATGAACCAGGAGCTGGCAGAGCAACCAGTCTACCCCGTCTGTCCTGGAGTAGGCCGATGAGGTGTCTCAGAGAACACACTTTCTAGTTATGTATGGATTCTCCAGAAAAAATCTTGGTAGGTCAGATGTGCAGCCTACATGACAGGCTGTCCCTGAATCATCTTGGCCAAAGTCAGTGTCTCCACCCTGTTAGGACAACTCTGTCTCAGGTTCTTCATCAGGACACCTCAGCAACAGTGATTACGCCCTTAATTTTCTGATGAGGAAACTGGGACTCAGAGGCCATAAGCCATCAACTCAAGGCCACAAAGCAAGCATCAAGGACCATCCTTGAGCCAGATTTGTCTTGCTCCACTATGCTACATAAACCAGTAGCTGTAAACCCTCACTGTGGTTAGAATCTCCTGAACCATTAAAAGAAAAAAGAAAGAAAAAAGAAACAGGACCTTTTTCTCCAGGCCAAAGAGTCCAACCTAATTAGTTCGGGAAGGGGTTTTAGCATTGTGAGTCTAGCGTGCAGCTAGTGCTGAGAACTGCTGCTGTAGGTGGAGGTAGAAACCTCCCCTTGCAGGGTGGGTCAGAGGCCACTGCTCAACTGCAAGCTGTTTGAGGACAGGCGCTGTGCCTTTTTTCATCTCAGTATTCCCAGGGTGTGTTTAGATAAAGTCAGGAACGACCAGAAGAGCACATTACTCCAAAATTTTTCTGAGCCTTGGTTTTCTCATAGGTAAATGGGGCCAATAATACAACCTCCTCTCTAGGGTAGCTGTAAAGATTAAGTGAGATTGCATTCATACTTCTTGAGACATTTTTAAAGCATTGTAGGGAGGAAACAGAGGACTTCTGCTTCCCAGAATGTCTTCCTTCATCTACTGATGCCAGAAAATAGAAACCTGAGGACTGTCTAGTCACCCTTGCTTGTTTAGTGGGGAGGGAGGCTGGCCCCAGGAGAGGAAAGGACTTTCTCACAGTTGCATGGCTATTGAGAGTCAGAACCTGCTCTAGAACACAGGTCTAGAGCTGACTCCCAGCAATGTCCTTTCCACTTCATTAAGCTATGTCCTGTCCTCCTGCCAACCCACGCTTTGGCTGGCCTGACTGCCTGAACTTCTACCTTTCCCATGGCCTGACTCAGGCCTTGCTGTCTCAACCTGTATGACTTTGATCTTCTGGTTTTGTAGTTTTACACACATAAGAAAGCTCCAGAGAACAAATAATTTTTTTTTTGAGTTGGAGTCTCACATTGTCACCTAGGCTAGAGCACAGTGGCATACTCACAGCCACCAGCCTGGACCTGCTGGCCTCAGATGATCTTTCTGCCTCAGCCTTTCAAGTGGCTGATACTATAGGTACATGCAACCACACCCGGCTAATTTTTTGATTCATTGTAGAGATGAGGTGTCGTCGAGTTGCCCAGGCTGGTTTTGAACCCATGGGCTCAGACAGTCCTCTCAACTCGGCCTCCCAAAGTGCTGGGATTATAGGCGTGAGCCACTACACCCACCCTAAATAATTCTTAAAGCATATAGTACTGGCTAGAAGTGCAATAGCAGTTAATGGTTGAAGCAGAATTTTGGGGATAATCTCAGAAGGCTTCCTGGAGGAGATGGAACCTGAAGAATCCTGCAGACACCACTGAAAGAAGTTGCACACTCATATCATTCAACAATGATAGCAAAACAAAGGTTGGTGAAGGGGAGGGTCTTCCCCCAATCACCCAGCTAGTTAGTGGTTTGTGGAAAGAGGAACCCAGTTCCATCATCCCAGATGCCTGCTTCACTGGGTTACAAAAAAACTGGGTTTGATGGGGGCAAGGGAAGAGAGAGGATTCTACAAAGGACAGGACTAAGAAGTGCCCATGTTGGGGTGAGGACAAGGAGGAGGGCGTGGTTGTATGGAAGAAATTAGATAATATTAACAGGCCGGGCTCGGTGGCTCAGCCTGTAATCCCAGCACTTTGGGAGGCTAAGGCAAGTAGATTGCCTGAGCCCCCGGGTTTGAGACCCAGGTAAATTGGCGAGACCTCGTCTCTACAATAAATAAATAATAATAATAGTTTTAACTGCTGGTATTTAGACTCTGTGTCAGGAATTCTGTGTGCATAAGCTTTATGAGCAAAGGTCCCAGGAAGCCTCCCATCCACCCTGTAGGGTGTTCACCATTTTACAGATGAACATGCAGATGCTCAGAGGGGTTAAATGACTTACCCTACATGACACAGCTCGATAGTGACAAGGATACGTCTAGCTGATTCACCTGCCTTCTCTATCTTCTACCCTGGGGTAAAGCACCCAGGGGAGCCCTAACATCATGAAAGATGTTGAAGGAGAGGAGGGCTTATTGCTGTGAAATAAGGAAGACTCAGATACTTCATTGTTGGCAAAGCCTCCTTGCCCCTGACTCCATTCCATACCTCTGGCCACATTAACAAACCTGTGCTTATCAGAGAATCTGGTGGATTCGGAGGCTGAGAGACAAAACAGGGTAAGGATGAGGACTGAGTAGGGCCCAGACTGGCAGTGACCAGTAAGGAGGCAGTAGGGATGGCAAGAAGGAGCAGAGAGAAACCCTTCCTACTCAGCCATCCCAAGGCCCATCCCATAAGCTGGCTTCCTTACCTCTGCCTCCCCTGGCTCAGACTTGTGGGTGGTAGTCTTCCTGCCACTCAGGAAACAAGGACTGCTCTCAAGCTTCTCACAGGTCCCAGGAACCCCCATTAAACTTCCTCAGGAGAGGCCAGGCTCGGTGGCTCAGCCTGTAATCCCAGCGCTTTGGGAGGCCGAGGTGAGTGGATTGCCTGAGCCTGTGGGTTCAAGACCCACCCGGGCAACTTGGCGAGACCTCATCTCTACAATAAATCAAAAAAAATTAACCAGGCATGGTAGCCCGTGCTTGTAGTTCCAGTTACTTGGAAGGCTGAGGAGAAAGGATCGCCAGAGCCCAGCAGGTCGAGGCTGCAGTGGCCAGGTGTGTGCCACTACACTCCAGTCCGGGCGACAGAATGAGACTCCGACTCAAAAAAAAACACAAAACTTCCTCAGGAGCTGCCCCCAGGCCTTCCAGAAGAGGGTGGGGGTGTCCTTGAAACTGCCTATATAAAATTAATATAGGACCCCAGGATAAAAACTGTAGAAGAGACCTAAATCCTGCAAAGTTGCAGCTATGGTTAGAAAGTTACAAGTTTTTAACTTTGCTTTCATTTCAATAGAGAACAATGGATTATCTTCTTGTCCTGGCCCCTAGGGAGGGAGAAGCTGCCCAAGAGGTTGATAAACATATTTTCCCTTAAACAATGAGCCTATGGCCACACAGATCTGCTTGATGGCTTCCAGAAGCTTGATTGGCCAAAGGGCATGAGCATATAGGGAACCCGCCTTCCCACCTATCTTATCTCTACAATGTTTTACTGACCAGAGGTCAGTAGCCAAAGGCGGGACTTGCTTTATAGATAGCCACTCCATGATAAAACCTAAGAATGGTGTTTAAGATGTGTTTCAGACTTTATGCTTTGGTGGACCCATGATCACACCACAACCCAGAACACATACCAAGGAACTGACTCCACAGGCTCTGTGACCCCATCTCAGAAACTTGTTCCCTCATACAAAGAGTTTCAATACCCCATAACTTCATCCTCAACCAATTAGCAGCACCCATTCCCTGTCCCCCTGCCTGCCAAATTATACCCCCCCAGCCTAAAATTCTCAGGGAGGCAGATTTAAGAAATATCTCCCATCCTCCTCACTTAGGTGTTTTGCAATCATTAAACTCTTTCTCAGGCGCTTGCACTGGGGAGCCCACCAGGCCTGGAGGCCGGCCAGTCACCCCCACGCCATCGGAAGGAGCCCAGGCAGCATGGGGTTCGCCCTCGGGGCCGGTTAATATTTTAAAAATGCACGTTGAACCAGGGACAGCCCATGGTGAGTGTTCACGTTTTGCTTCAGCGATCAGACTGATCTCTTTGAGGTATCTAGATCACCATGGCGACTGGACAGAGGTTGATGAGAGCTGTCAGAGTGTTTGAATTTGGTGGACCCAAAGTCCTGAAACTCCAGTTGGATGTGGCCATGCCGATTCCAAAAGACCACCAGGTTCTAGTCAGGGTCCACGCGTGTGGTGTGAACCCCGTGGTGATGTACATTCGCTCCGGGATGTACAGCAGGAAGCCACCCCTGCCCTCCATGCCTGGCTCCGACGTGGCTGAGGTGATGGAAGCCACTGGAGATGGCACGTCTGCTGTCAAGACAGGTGACAGGGTCTTCACGACCAGCACGCTCTCTGGGGGCTATGCGAAGTACACGCTTGCAGCGGATCACACCGTCTACAAACTGTCCGACGAGCTGGACTTCTGGTAAGACGTGGCCATCGGTGTCCCATATTTCACGGAGTTTTGAGCTCTGATCCACAGTGCCCACGCGAAGGCTGGCGAGAGCGTTCTGGTTCACGGGGCTAGCGGAGGAGTTGGCTTAGCAGCGTGCCAGATTGCTAGAGTTTATGGCTTGAGAGTTTTGGGCACGGCTGGTACCGAGGAGGGACGGAAGATTGTCTTTCAAAATGGAGCCCATGAAGTGTTTAATCACCGAGAAGTTAATTACATTGATAAAATTAAGAAATCTGTTGGTGAGAGAGGAATTGATGTGATTATTGAAATGTTAGCGAATGTAAATCTTAGTAAAGATTTGAATATTCTGTCATATGGAGGAAGAGTCATAGTTGTTGGCAACAGAGGTACTACTGAAATCAAACCTCGGGATACTATGGCCAAGGAGTCTAGTATCATTGGAGTTCATCTCTGTTCCCCAACCAAGGAGGAATTTCAGCAGTTTGCAGCCGCCCTTCAAGCTGGAATGGAAATTGGTTGGTTGAAGCCTGTAATAGGTTCTTGGTATCCGTTGGAGAAGGTGGCCCAAGCTCATGAAAATATCATTCACAGCAGTGGGGCTACTGGAAAAATGGTCCTTCTCTTACGATGATGAATCATTTCATGCGATTTTCTATGTAACAAGAGGTTCTCTCTCCTCCATTTTTACTTAATTATCTGCTCTTTGATTAACGTTCACTTGATTCTGCGAGTTTCTTATGTGAAAAAATAAGATTTTTCTTTAAGAGCAGAGGCAGTGAAGTAAAATTGATAGCCGGCAATATTTTTTATGCCTCCGTCTCAGATCAGGAATCATCATATTAGGAAATAATGTGTTAGTGGTCATTGGCATTGAAGTGCTTTCCAGAAATTCTTAACTGACACTTGAGTAATTCCATGTCTTTGATCAGAACACGTTGATTCATAATAGGACTGCCCAGGTCCCACAGATTTCTGAGCCTACTCACCTCTACAAAGGTTCTTTAGTCTCTGATTAGCCTTAACTGTATTGGACTCTGAAGATTTATTGGACTGAAAAAGACTCATGTTTCAAACTAATCTCGTCTGGGTCTGTAAGTCTTCTGGATGTGTAACAATAAACAATAGCCAGGGCAGTTTGTTAGTTTTCCCAATATTTCTCTAAATATTAGAATACTCATGATCAGTTGGTTGCCAATTACTTCGTATGTTCTGTGAAGACCGCAGCCCTCTCTTTGGTATAATATGATAACCTACACATGGTCTCCACATAGATAATACTTCTTTGATTAGATTTTCAAAGTAGATTCAGGGTTATCTCTTTGTTGATGGGGGTCATATATTTTCATTTAGATTAATAAACTCACAAATTTGACACTTAAAAAAAAAACTCTTTCTCTATGGCTATGACTGCTATCAGTGTATTGGCTTTTCTACGCAGTGGGCATAAGAACTTGGTCAAGAGCCCGGCTCGGTGGCTCAGCCTGTAATCCTGTGCCTTGGGAGGCTGAGGTGAATGGATTGCCTGAGCCCGTGGGTTTGAGACCTGCCTGGGCAACTTGGTGAGACCTCATCTTTTCAATAAATCAAAAATCAGCGCGCCTGTAGTTCCAGCTACTTGGACGGCTGAGGCGGAAGGATCACCGGAGCCCAGCAGGTCGAGGCTGCGGTGGCCGGGAGCGGCCACTGCACTCCAGTCTGGGCGACAGAGTGAGACTCCAACTCAAAAAAAAGAACCTGGTCAGGCTGTAACATCCTCACTGGGTCTCCCAAGTCTAGAGAGCAGCTGGCCCCCACAACCCTTCTCTTTATTGCTCAGGATCTAGCACCAGCCTTTCAGCCAACCCAGCATTAGAGGCAGTGGTTCCTCTCAGAGCCAAGCCCTAGTCGGCCCAGGGATAATCCAGCCAGGAAATCTCTTACCTTTCCACAGCAATGGCCACCAGCGTGAACACAGAAGCTGAAACAGACATGCCCTGCACCAAGCCACTCATCTTGCATGTGGCATTGTCGAAGGGCCACCCTGTAATGACAGAGACCCCCACGTAGTAAGAGATGCCCACCCACCAAAAGCCAGAGACTTCAGGGTTGTCTAAGCCAGGTTCCCTCTGAAGCCTGGGTCTTTCCTCCATGTCTTGCTGGAGTCAAATGGCTTCTGCTTGCACATGTCCAGGAATGAAGAACCAACCAGTCCATATAGCTGCGGACAGTTCTGTCTATAATTCTTTGGTTTATGTGAGCCATTGGTTCTAGGCCCCCTCGAGCATAGAAAAATTTGCACATAATTAAGTCTTGCAGTCAGCCCTACAGATCTCACAGATAGGAGAAGTCAGCCCTCTCTATATAAATAGGTTTTGCATCCTAGGAATATTGTATTTTCAATCTGCATTTGGTTGGGAAAAAAATCTGCATATAAATGGACTTGCGCAGTTCAAACCCATATTGTTCAAGAGTTAACAGTATTAGAGAAATGTTTTTTATATTGACTAATAGTTTCTCTCCATGAGGTTTAGATCTGCCCTGCCTGACTCTCTGCTTCCATAGTTCTGGCCCAGGTTCTAGGCCAGTGGTTTTCAACCCTGGTTGCTTTCTAGAATCACCCAGAGAGCTTTGAAAAGAACAAATGCCCAGACCCATGCCAGGCCAATTATGATCAGAATCTCTTGGGGTGGGACCCAGACATTAGTTTCTTGTTTTGTTTTTGCTTTTGTTTTTAGATGGAGTCTAGCTTTGTTGCCCAGACTGGTCTTGAATTCCTGATCTTAAGTGATCCTCCCATCTCAGCCTCCTGAGTGGGTAGGATTACAGGCATGCCACACCATACCTGGATCTCCATTAGTATCTTAAAATTCAACCCAGGAGATTCAAGTGGCAGCCAAAGTTGAGGACCACTAGGATAAATCTACCCTGACTCCTAGGAAGGAAGAGGTATAGGTAGCTCCAGCCCCTCCTACTCCTAATCCCTGGGCCTCTACTTTGTAAGGACACTTGTAAGTGCCCTCAGGACTATAACCACATCACTGATCATAGCTTGGTTTTTAAGGCTATGTGTTGGTACCTGCTTGGTGTCTCTGCCCCTTTAGAACTGGGAGCCCCATCTTATTCTTGTCTCTTGTGCCTGGGACAGGAGTCCTCTCTGGAGCCTAGGGCTCTCCTTTCGCCGACAGCCTCCTCTGTATTAACTTTCTACCTGCACACTTACTAAGCACTAGGCGATGTCTTATTCAATCCTCACAACAGCCCTACTTTTATCATCTCATTTTTACAGAAGAGAAAACTGTGGGGAGATTAATTGACTGTCTCTCTGCCCCTAAATCACTATGAATTAGTGATGCAAGTCGGGTCTCAGTGCTGGGGAGTTTAAGTATCATGGCAAGTCAATACTGTTATAGAGAGCAGTCTGGTTCTATTTTGAAAAGCTGTGTACGTGCAAACTGTGTGGCCCAGCAATTCTTCTTCTGAGTTCATATCTGGAAGACATTCCTCCACGGTCCATATGGGTGTCGACTACAATGTTGTTTGTGATGATGGAAAGTTGGAGGCAGTGGTATACTGGTAAATCAGCTCTCAAAAAGAACCCCAAATCAAACCCCCCAAAACCCTATTCTGTAGCACTTGCCAATTTAGGTGGTGCAAGTCTCCCTACGTGGCAAAGTTCAACCTACCACCCTGATGTCACTGAGCACAGACAAAAAGAAGCGTGCACAGTTGGCTCTCGTGAGCTGGTATAAGCTAGCTCTAGGTTACCACTAGGTAGAGGCCACTCTGGTGGCCACCCCTGGGAGGCTGGAGGCTTAAATGTGGTAGATGCATGCCACTCCAGCCTGGATAACAGTGTGAGACTTAAAAAAAAAATCTTGGCCATACTCAGTGGCTCAGCCTGTAATCCCATCACTTTGGGAGGCTGAGGTGAGAGGATTGCCTGAGCCCAGAGGTTCAAGACCAGCCTGGGTAACTTGTTGAGACCTTGTCTCTACAATAAGTAAAAAATTAGCCGGATATGGTAGCGTGTGCCTGTAGTTCCGGCTACCCAGAAGGTTGAGGCAGAAGGATCACCAGAGCCCAGCAGGTGGATGCTGGGTGGTCGTGAGTGTGCTAATGCACTCCAGCCTGGGCAACAGAGTGAGACTCAAAAAAATATAAAATAAAATAAATCTTAGTTTACATACACAGCTCTGTCCTTGAGAGGGCATAGACGCAATGACACTCCAGTAGCAATAAGCACACTGAAAACCCAGATTTGGGTTTCTAAATACTATTCTCCAATAGTATTTAGAAACCAAAAGAACCAGGGTTCCTTAGAGAAATGATCCAGGGCTAGAACAGGGAAAATATAAAATGATCCTGGAATATTCTGTAGTGCCAGAAAGTAAGGAACCATGGAGTACCAGGCAACAACTAGATACAACAGATCAAATGTACACATGGTAGCATGGATAGAAGACTTAGCAAAAAAAAAAAAAAAAAGTAAGAAATAGAAAGAGATTTATAATACAAAACCATTCAATTAAATTAACCATACTCAAAAAATCATGGCAGCATGTTGAAAGGACACAGGAGCCCCCTGGAAAGAGCTCCCAATAGCCCAAACTAACACAATGTAAGCAAAAACATACAGAATGGCAATACTGGGTTATAACCCATGAAGTAGAATTCCAATTAATAAATGTAGAAGAAATGATGTTAGTAGAAAAGCATCATTGAGAAATACAACTAATAACCATTGTAGGAAAGAACCATCAATAGATGTTAAACTTAGTAACCAAAAGTATAATGAGAAATAGGTCAAGCTGGTTGCATACACCTGTAATTCCAGCACTTTGGGAGGCCAAGGTGGGAGGATTGCTTGAGCCCAGGAGTTTGAGACCTGTCTGGGCAACATAGCAAGACCTCACCTCTACAAAACATAAATTAGCCAGGTATGGTGGCCCATGTCTGTAGTCCCAGCTACTCAGGAGGCTGAAGCAGAAGTATTGCCTGAGCCCTAGAGGTTGAGGCTGTGGTGAACCGTGATCATGCCATTGCACTCCTGACAACTCAAAAAAAAAGAAAGCATAATGAGAAATAGGTCATTTGCATAGTCTCCAAGTCTTTCCTCATAAAATACTTAATAGTTACACAGGGAAAAATGGTAACTTGACAGTGGAAAACTTGAGAGAGTTTAACACCTTAATCAAGTGATCAAAGTTAACACCAACATCAATACACACAGGTATCACTCATTCTAAACATATTTTTTGTGGTATTTTTGACAAAAATGCATACACTGAATCTTTTTATAGGAAAACAGGCAAACCCAAATTAGACAACATTCTGCAAAATAACTGACAAGTACTCCTCAAACATGTCAAGGTCATGAAAGACAAGGAAAGACCAAGGTCCTGTCACAGATTGGAAGAAACTAAGAAACAAACAAACAATGAACTAAAGTGTGTGATCCTGGGTTGAATCCTGGACTAGAAAAAGGGCATTTATGGGAAAACTAGTGAAATTCAGATCAAGTCTTCAGATTAGTTCAGAGTACTATGTCAATGCTAATTTCCTGCTTTTGATCACTTTATTATGGTTATTTCAGATATTAACATAAGGAGGAGGTGAACAAAAAGTCCATGGAAGTTCTCTGTACTAGCACTCTCTGTTTTGGCAACTTTTCTTTAAGTCTAAAATTATTTCAAAATAAAAAGGAAAAGAAAACAAAACAAAAGCCCACTAGACTCAAAAAGCTACATCCTGCATGTAGTCCATTTATGTGACATGCTTGCAAAGGCAAAAGTATGCTTTCTGTTCCTACAGAAAACAAATCCATGGAGTCAGAGAGTGGAGGGACAAGCTGACTACAAAGGGAAAAGGGGAGCTTTTTGGAGTGATGAAATTGTTCCAGATCTTGATTATGGTGGTAGCTACATGATTATGGTGGTATGTGGTCATCAAAACTTGAAGAACTGGCGGGCTACAGTGGCTTATGCCTGCAATCCTAGCTACTCAGGAGGCTGAGGCAGGAGAATCACTTCAGCCCAGGAGTTCAAGGCTGCAGGAAAGTATAATCACACCACTGACCTCCAGCCTAGGTGACAAAGTGAGACCCTGTCTCTAAAAAAGCAAAGAAACAAACTGTACCCTTGAAAAGGTGGATTTTGTTGTACATTAAATTATGCCCTAACAAAAATATTTAAATGTAAAACATGCACAAATTCACAGCACATTTTCTAAGAATGCATACAAATAAAAAGACACAAATTAAATGTAACAGAATGGCTGCCTATGGGTCAAAGAAGGAATGTGAAGTGGGGTAGATGTTTAGAAGAAAACAAATAAATAAACCAAAATAAATGGGGGCTTCACAACAGAGTAAGTTACATAGTGTCATGAACTATGAACATGAATAATTCAACCCTCTATACCTGAGATTAAAAAAAAATTATAAATAAAAAATAAAAAAAAAAGGAAAAGCAAAGCTGTGTGAAGTTTTATTTAATTGCAGAAGATCCTATTAGAAATGACCTAAGCCAGGGGCGGTGACTCACGTTTATAATCCCAGCACTTTGGGAGGCCAAGGTGAAGGGATTGCCTGAGCCCGCGGGTTCGAGACCAGCCTGGGTAACTTGGTGAGACCTCATCTCTACAATAAATAAAAAAAATTAGCCAGGCATGGTGGTGTATGCCTGTAGTTCTAGCTATTTGGAAAGCTGAGACAGAAGGATGGCCTGAGTCCAGCAAGTCGAGGCTGTGGTGGCTGTGAACGTGCCACTGCACTCCAGCCTAGGGTCACCAGAGTGAGACTCCAACTTAGGAAAAAAAAATGACCTAAATACCCAGCAAATAAATTGTCCTCAGCTTCGCAGAAGGACTCAGTAGTGAGCAAAAATTCCATACAACAGAATTCTAAGCTGTGGTAAAAATAATGAGAGACTCTTTTATGTGTCATATGGAATAACAACATATAAGTTGATTTTAATGAATCATACAACATACATGATATATTTTTAAGTTGGGGGAGAAAAGTAAAATTGACTGTTTGGACAGCTAGCATGTCCTTAATTTGCTTGTACTTGTGTAAAACACTTTTGAAAAGAGACATCAGAAACTGGCAACATTGGTTACCTCCCAAGAGAGGAACTGGATGACCAGAGGACAGGGTGGAAGGGGGGAAATTTTCCACTGGATAACTTTGGTAGCTTTTAACTATTGAACCATGTGACTGTTTTATCTATTCAAACAATGTTTAAGTGTGTGAAAAGCACTGACAGGTACTACGTTGGCCAACTAGTGACCTCCCTACATTGCTGTGGACTGGTATGTGTGTGTGTGCGTGGGCTGTCTGCACATATGTGTATGAATACACGTGTGTGTCTGTATGCATCAGGGAGGAGAAGAATGCACAGACTATGTTCAGCTTTGCTGAAGGACTCAGTGGTGAGCAAAGTTTCCACCAGACAGAGCCGGTACTGCTGAGGGGAGCTGATGCTGCCTGGCTCCACTTCCTGGGTTCTCCTCCCTCTGCCCCAGCCAGCAGTCTGTGAAGTCATTCCAAATGGGGCTGTTCAAGCCCTGGATCCCCAGCTCCAGGGAGCTGCTGGGAGCTCTGAGCTCAGAATCTGAAGGCTTGGACCTCTAAGGGTCTCCAGAGCTTTGGAAACCGGTCCTATCCCCGGCTGGAGTCTGGGACTGTGGAACCCCGATTTTAAAACAAGATAGGCCAATCACTGAGAGAGAGTGGGTGACAGTGGCGTCGTTCTGACATCTGCAGGATGCACAGGCAGGAATTTAGAGGTCAGGTGGTCTAGCTCTGCTTGAATACTTTCTACCAGATCCCTGATGAGTAGCCAGCCAGTCCCTACTTAGACACTCCAAGAGACAGGGAACTCACTATCTACAGGGTAGGGCTCCCTTCTGTGGGAGAACAGCTCAGATGAGTGGATTTTTAGGTCTATATTCACAGGAAATCTACCTCTTTACCACTTCTTCCCACTAGTTCTAATCCTGCCCATGGGAGCTACGTGGGAGAGGGAGACCAAATGGAGTAGCACAGTAATTAGAAATGTGTGGGCCTTGATACTTTTTGACCACATAACTACAGGCCAGTTTCTTTCTTTCTTTCTTTCTTTCTTTTTTTTTGAGTCGGAGTCTCACTCTATTGCCCAAGCTGGAGTGCAGTGGCATGCTCATGGCCACTGCAGCCTCAACCTGTTGGACTCAGGTGATCCTTCCGCTTCAGCCTTCCAAGCAGCTGGAACTACAGGCACACGCCACCATGCCTGGCTAATTTTTTTAAAAAATTTATTGTAGAGATGAGATCTCACAAGCTGCCCAGGCTGGTCTCAAACCTGTGAGCTCAGGCAATCCTCTTACCTCAGCCTCCCAAAGTGCTGGGATTATAGGCGTGAGCCACCACACCTGGCCAGACCAGTTTCTTTCTTTCTTTATTTTTTTTTTGAGTTGGAGTCTCACTCTGTTGCCCAGACTGGAGTGCAGTGGCACACTCCCGGCCACTGCAGCTGCGACCTGCTGGGCTCCGGCAATTCTTCTGCCTTAGCCTTCCAAGTAGCTGGAACTACAGATGCACACTACCACACCCGGCTAATTTTTTTTGTTTATTGTAGAGATGAGGTCTCACCAAGTTGCCCGGGTGGGTCTTGAACCTGAGGGCTCAGGCAATCCACTGGCCTCGGCCTCCCAAAGTGCTGGGATTACAGGCTGAGCCACCAAGTCCAGCCCAGACCAGTTTCTTAACCACTCTGAGTATGCTTTCTCATCCGTAAAAATGGAGATAATAATTAAAACCTACTTCAAACATCACTAGATTGTTGTGAGGATTAATTAAGACAATGCATGAATAGTGCATCCCATCATGGCTGGAGCAAAGAAAATGGTTAATTCCTTGTATCTGTTATTTCTAGGCTAATCCCTCAGCCAGAAGACTGTCTTGAGAGTTTGAGACAACAGCATGACCAGGAGCCCAGCAATGATTTCTGGCTTCCCAGCTTCCATTGCAGGCCTTAGCTGAGGAGTGAAAGTTGGGGGTGGTGGGGAGGGACACTGTGCACTGTCTACACTCACCAGTGATGAGGTTGTCCACAAGGGTGGTGGGCATGCAGAAGATGCCCACCAGCAGGTCACTGACGGCCAGGTTGAGGATGAACATGTTGGTGACGGTGCGCATGTGCCGGTTCTTCAGCACGATGAAGCAGACCAGGGCGTTGCCCACCATGCAGAGGAGGAAGATGAGCACGTAGGCCACAATAAACATGGCTGCCACTGGCGAAGAGTGCTGGTAGTAGGAGGAGAAGGTGAGGTTCACAGCCGGAGCAGCCTCCACGTTACTCCTATTCTGATTTGGGGGCCAGCTGATGTTAGGAGACTGGGAGGGCTTCCCTAGGATCAAAGGAGCATAGGGGTCAGGACCCTAGGCAAAGAAGAGATGACTTGCTTCCTACCAGTGCTGAGACCCCTTCATGGACCCGACACTGACCATGCTCTAGGACCCCAATCATGGGCCCAGCTCAATCGCAACTGGGTGCACTGATCCAAGACTTGCAGCCCACAGCACTCAAGTCACAAACGGCGCTCCGTCTTGACCACAGCTCATTCCCCACTAACCACCCTCTACCCCCAACCTAGGCTCCATCATTTCTGGTCCTGCTCTGTGTCCCAGAGACTAACCTCTAGGTTCCTGTGCCTTCTGGCTTCTGGCTGGGTTTAGCCAATGTGAGACCCTGAAGGAGATGGAAAGGTAGGAGCAGAGAGAGAGAGTTCAGGGTATTGGTTTCCTGATTCTCCCCGCCTGGCCCAATTCTGCCAGCAGCTGTTTTTTTCTATGTCCATGGCCACTCAGGTTGGGTGACTCCTCTTCCATGGCTCTAGGCCTTGCCAGGCTGTAGTAGTACTGTTCTCTCTTCTCATACCAGCAGGCCTGTAGGTGGTAATGGTTTCCTGTGATTGCCAGCCCCTGGGCGCTTCACCATTACTCGCTGGCTCTCTTGCTCCTCCCCTCACCTCTGTAAAGTCTTCCATTAAACTCTCTTCAGTTAAATTCTTTCTGAGCGCATCACCTGTTTTCTCTGGGACCTGACTCGTATACCTCCATCGATGTCCCTCTTCCTCATCTCCTCCATAGAACTTTAGTTGAGAAAGGCCAGAAGGTAGTAGAGAAAGGGAGAATGAAAGGGGACTCTGGCGGGGCTCGGTGGCTCAGCCTGTAATCCTGCGCCTTTGGGAGGCTGAGGTGAGCGGATTGCCTGAGCCCGCGGGTTCGAGACCCGCCTGGGCAGGCGAGACCTCATCTCTACAATAAATCAAAAAATCAGCCGGGCATGGTAGCGCATGCCTGTAATTCCGGCTACCCAGAAGGCTGAGGCGGAAGGTTCGCCGGAGCCCAGCAGGTCGAGGCTGCGGTGGCCGGGAGTGGCCACTGCACTCCAGTCTGGGCGACAGAGTGAGACTCCAACTCAAAAAAAAAAAAAAAAAAAGGGGGACTCTGAACTGGGGCTAGGGGGCAGAGGCACATCAAGTTCACCAGGAGAACATCCAAAGCCAAGGCTACCCCACCTGTGCTTTACCTCCAGCCATCTTGTAGCATTAAACAAAGCAGTCCACATCTATTATTTTATTTAACTCCCTGAGCCACTCCATGGTGTAAGCAGTTAGGTATTAGCGGGTTTTTTTTCTGTTGTTAAAACCTTCACTGAATTGTCTGAAGGCATTGAAATGGGGATCAGAGAGGTTCCATGACTTGTTCAATGTCCCACAGGGCGAGGCAGCAGAGTTGCCCCTGCTCTGTGTGTCTCTGAATCAGGACCAGGCTTTCGTGTGTGTTTCCTCAGCTGTGTGTGCTTCGAAGGGAGAGCTCAGTGTCCAACTTAGTTAGCTCTTCTGGGAAGTCATTAGTTGGGGTGACTCAAGATGTTGTCTCATAAACTCTCCTCCCGCCTTCCTCTGGGACAGAATGTGGTTGTTCCATAGGATGAAGAGTCTCTGGGGAATCTTTCTGTTGTACTCAGGCCTCAGTCACTGGCCTGGAGGCCCACTGGAGGATGAGGACCTGGAGGCTAGAGATACACTGGGGTGAGCAGGGCCAATGAGCTGGCACCATCAGGACTGCAGGGACCAATGGATGCAACAGGGGACATTCCAGTGGAGGGAAGGAGGGTGTCTTGGTGGAGGTAGAGAAGCTGGAAACCTCCTGTGTGTGGTGAGAGAGGCTACCTACCCACCTGCATAGGACCCCCAATTATACTCAGTGTCTTTATTTTGATATAAAAAACCTTTTGAATAGAGATGAGGTCCCCACTATGTTGCCCAGGCTGGATACGAATTCCTAGGCTCAAGCAATCCTCTCACCTCAGACTCCCAAAGTACTGGGATTATAGGCATGAGCCACCGTACCTGGCCTCAAATGTCTTTATTTTAATATAAAAAATGCCAAACATGCACAAGAGAGAATAGTATAGTGAACATATACAAGAGTATAAAGTTCAATGAATTGTTACTAGGCAGAATAGTTCAAATGGTTCACACCTGTAATCTCAGTACTTTGGGAGGCTTAGGTGGGGAGGATTGCTTGAGCCCAGGAGTTTCAGACTAGCTTTTCAACAATTATAAACTCAAGGCCTAGAGTTGTTTCATCCATACCCCCACCATTTTTGAATTATTCTGAAGCAAATGCCAGACATTATATCATTTCACCCATAAATATTTTGGTTTGTATCTCTAAAAGACAAACCAGGCTGGGCTCGGTGGCTCAGCCTGTAATCCCAGCACTTTGGGAGGCCGAGGCTAGTGGATTGCCTGAGCCCACAGGTTTGAGACCAGTCTGGGTAACTTGGTGAAACTTCATCTCTACAATAAATAAAAAATTAGCCAGGTATAGTAGTACGCACCTGTAGTTCCAGCTACTTGAAGGCTGAGGCAGAAGGATCACTGGAGCCCAGCAGGTCAATGCTGGAGTGGCCATGAGTGTGCCATGGCACTCCAGCCTGGGCTACAGAATGAGACTCCAATTCAAAAAACAAAACACAACAAAACTGTGATCACATCATTATCATACCTAACAAAATAAACAATGATGTCTTTTTTTTTTTTTTAGTCAGAGTCTTACTCTGCCACTCAGGCTGGAGTGCAGTGGCATGATCACAGCTCACCACAACTTTGACCTCCTGGTTCAGGTGATCCTTCCACATCAGCCTCCTGAGTAGCTGGGACTACAGGCACATACCACCACGCCTGGCTAATTTTTTTTGTTTATTTGTTTGTAGAGATGAGGTCTCACTGAGTTGCTGATCTCAAACTCCTGGGTTCAAGCAATCCTCCCACCTCAGCCTCCCAAAGTGCTGGGATTATAGGCATGAGCTACCACATCTGGCCAATTATGTCATTATATTATCAAATGTCCAGCATCCAGCAAAATTCCTTGATTGTTTCAAAATTTTTAAATAGTTGGAGAGGATTCATACAAGACTTCTGCTTCTATTACCTATTATTATGTGGCAAGCCACCCCAAAATTTAGTGATATATCACCATAGCTTTGCAATCTGGGTAATCCTTCTGCAGGTCTCTCTTGGGATCACTCATGCAGCTCCAGTTATCTCCTGGCTCTGCTGGGGTTGGAGGGTCCAAGATGTTCCTCACATGGCTGGTGATTAGTGCTGGCTATTGGCTGGAGTATCTCAGTCCTTCATGAGGCCTCTCATTCTCCAGGAGGCTAGACTGGGCTCCTTCAGAGAATGGTGGTCTTAGGGTTCCAAGAGAGCAAGAGAAGAAGCTACAGGCTTCTTAAGTCCTAGGTTCTGGAATTTTCCCATCACTTTTGCCACATTCTATTGGCCAAATGAGATACAAAGGCAACCCATATTCAAGTCAGTGAGAAATTCCACCTCTTGACAGAAAGGACAGCAGCAACTGGACATTGCAACAAAAGGGGTGTGGACATGGAAGTGTGATTCATTAAAGTCCACTATTATAAAAATCTACCACCATCCCTACCTTGCATTTGGTGGATGTGACTCAGGTCTCTTAGAGTTTACAGATTCCCCTTCTGTCTCTTTTCTCCTCGGCAGTTTATTTGTCATATAGACTGGATCATTGGTTTGTAAAGTTTCCTGCAGACAGGATTTTGCTGATTGCTCCCTCGTGGTGTCATTTTAAATGTTCTGCTCTCTGACCCATGTATTTCCTGTACTCAGTAGTTAGATTTAGAGGCTTGATCATATTATGTCTGGTCATCTCTCTCTTTGCCATGCTAAGCTTGATCAGTGGGCTCAGGTGATGTCAGCCTGATTCTGCACTGTCAAGTTCCCCATCAGCTTTTTTTCTTTTCTTTTCTTTTTTTGAGCTGGAGACTCTGTCACCCAGGCTGGAATGAAGTGGCACAATCACAATTACCGCAGCCTCACTGCTTCTTGGTAGGTGCGGGTGGACCTCCCAAGAATCATTTGGGTTAGCAAAAGTAAAAGATTTTAGGTTCAAATTCCTGGGGAAGCCAATAGGAGCTACAAAAAAGCCCATTTTGATACTTTCTTTGCTCCTACTCTAAGGCCTTTTTCTTTTCTTTTCTTTTTTTTGAGTTGGAGTCTCACTGTTGCCCAGACTGAAGTGCAGTGGCATGCTCATGGCTACCACAGCCTCAACCTCCTGGGCTCAAGTGATCCTTCTGCCTCAGCTTCCCAAGCTGGGACTACAAGCATGCGCCACCATTCTGGGCTAATTTTTAAAATTTATTTTAGAGATTAGGTCTCGCTCATCAGGGTTTATTCTCAAGGCTGGGAACGTCTGACTCCTTTTGAAATGCAAAAGCTCAGATTGATCTTGAATACCTGGGCTCAAGCAATCTTCTTGCCTCCACCTCCCAAAGTGCTGGAATTACAGGCTAAGGCCTTTTTCTTTCTCCTTGCTTTCTCCAGGAATTCTCTGGTTTTACCTGTTAAATCTGTATTCCGAAGAGGTTCTCTTCTGAATAAAAGTCATTAATCTCTCAGTAAAAACTGAACTGCCTTTATCACACGTTAAGCTTATACTCTCAGTCCATTTAAAACGATTCCAGATCTTAGAAAGTTGGGGTAGAAAAGGCTTAGTAGGGAGGGGAGAAGATAGAAAAGGGGCAAGGAATTTCCTCTCTCTTGCTCTTGGTAAGGCTAAATATATGCCTTGGAGCTTCCTTTCTCGGTTCTATGACTGTCTGCTTTCTCAGGGTCTGCCTGTTCAGTCTACCTACAGCACTGTTCACATTTCACTTCCTACTTCAGCAAAGTATAGAGATTTTGTTCTCCTTCTACTAAGCATTTCTATGCCTCAGTGGCAGAAGCCATGCCTAGTTCAGCTTGGAATGCTCCCTACTATCTGGCACAGGGCCTAGAACATAAAGACAATCAACATTGATAATTAATTTAGATACTAAAGGCTATGAACTTTCCTCTAAGCACTGCTTTAACTGTATCCCATAGACTCTGACAGATACTGTTTCCATTATTGCTGAAATATGTTTTACACAACATCAAGTTATCTCTGACAAGGAAAGGAAAATTATCTTCATTTCTTAGGAAAATCAAAACTCAAAGACAAACTTGCTGTCAGAATACAGGGTGCAGTAGTGGTGGACCCCAAGTTTTGGTTGGCTCCAGGATTCAGAGTTTATCAAATAAACCAGGAGACGTGGTCTGAGTTTAAGCCCCTGCTCTGGCTCTGTCACCTCCAACTGTTTTCTCATCCTCTCTGGTATCATCAGGTCATATGTAAAGACCTCCAGTGTCTATTAGCAGCAACAAGAGAGCCTTGATTTGGCGGAAACCTTGCCTCCCTGAGACTCCTGCACTACAAAGCTGACACTTTATGAATAATGCATACATCATCTAAAACCTTGCCTGAAGAAGCAGATATACAGGTCAGATGCAGAACCAGAGTTACTCTGGGCTCAGTGGAGAAGTAAGACAAGAGGACTCCTAGTCCCTCTGGGATCCATTCTTCCTCCACTCAATACTTCCCAACAAGGCATTCCCCCTCCCCATCACCCCACCCCCAATTCCCAGGTTGCCTATGTTCTCTCCCTCCCCATCCTTAACAGAATCTCCTTTTGAAAAAGATTTGATAAACTTGTTCACATGGATGAGGAAATGACTCATAACAAAGTGCTGTGTCTTTTTTGAGCTTCTGCCATTTCAGAAAGAGTCAGACATTAAATCAGAAAAAAGGAAGCTTTAATGATGCATTTTCAGTTATTAACGAGAGAGCAGCAAAAAGCTTTTAAGACCGAATTTAATTATTTATGTTTGTGTCATGAGTAGATCTACTAGAAATTAGCTGTGTTAGCTCCACACACCGTGCCTCAGTTTCCTCTTTTGTAAAATTAGGGTTGAGCAGCTGTTTAGGTAGGCCTTTCCTGTCTCTAACAGTTGAGTTTTTGCAATAGAATGAACCACGTGATTGGAGCAGAAATACTTAAGTATATCTCCTTGACTCACGGTGGAAGCAGGACAGACTGCCATCAGACAGACCATGGCCCAGTGAGAAACAGGCCTGCACCTACCTGGCCTCTGCCTCCCCAGCAGCAGCTGAGTCTCTTCCCATTCCTCACTCCAAGACTGGAAAGTGTGGAGCGTCTTCAGGACAAAGCTGGATAGCTGGACTTCAAAGACAAACTTGCTCTCAGAATACAGGGTGCAGTAGGCTGCAGCCCCAGAGTGTTCCAGAGTCTAGGCCATTTGCACAGAAAAGCCAGCAGATCTGCTACAGTTCAAGCCAGGGCAAGCTATGCATCCTGGGTCTCAGTTTTATCATCTGCTAAATAGGAGTGAAGCTGTCTCCCTGCCCACCTCCCATGCTGGATGGGCAACTCCAAGGTGATGAAACACTTTGTGGAAAAGGCAGAACACAGGGACTCTGACAGCAGCATTTCAAGGGGCATGAGAAAGCAGCACCATCTTGGACCTCTAAGACCTCACTGTGAACTGAACTGGAAAGTTACCAGCAGGCTTGTTCTTCTCCCCTCTCTCTCCAGTGACCCCTTTCTCCCACATGGCCCCTTTCTCCCCCATGGGTGTGCCCACCAGTGTGGGCATACATCCTCCCAGCCTATGGGGCCTCTCTCAGCCACAGAGCACCCAATCTGGGTAGACAGCTGTGGAGACCACCAGGAAGCCACTAGGCTGGGGTCAGGCTGGGACTGGGATGGCAAGTGGATTTGATTTGCTGTCCTGCTGATTTATTCCACAGCATAACACCACAGTCAAGGCCAGGAGGGGAAAGTGAGTGGGGGTGACTCCCTGGCTGGCCTCAGCAACTCTGCAGGGGACTCAGCAGACTGCAGTGTCTGTCTCTAGGTTTTGGGAGAAGCCCTCAGGGTCCCCTCCAGGCCATAGATTTGGCCCAGTCATCCAAGAATTCCCCCTTCTGTCCCTCTGTCAGTAATCAGACCTGTCAGCTCCCTTGCTCAAGCTGAGTAATGGGAACTGATGAGGAGACAGTTTCTAGGCCAGCCCTGAGTGATAGAAAGTTCTTCCTGATGTTGAGTTGAATTGTCTTTTTTTTGAGTTGGATTCTCACTCTTGCCCAGACGAGTGCAGTGGCACGCTCACAGCCCCCAGCCTTGTCCTGCTGGGCTCCAGCAATCCTTCCACCTCAGCCTTCCAAGTAGCTGGAACTATAGGCGTGCAATACCACGCCTGGCTAATTTTTGATTTATTGTAGGTCTCGCCAGGTTGCCCAGATGGGTCTCAACCTGTGGGCTCAGGCAATCCACTCACCTCGGCCTCCCAAAGTGCTGGGATTACAGGCTGAGCCACCGAGCCTGGCCGAGTTGAACTGTCTTACAGAACATCCCCCTATTGGTTCTGATTCTGCTCCCTGGAGCCACACAGAACAAAACTGAGCCCCTGTTTCTGGGATCATCCCTTTTCCCTACATTTTTCCCTGCCTTTTTCCCATCCCAGCATCCCAGGGTGTCCAGTGAGAGGGGCTTCAGGCCTATCTCATCATCGGTTCATTTTGCCTCCTACCCCATGACGTTCCTCAAGAATACAAGCCAGATTGCCCCCATTAGACTTTAAATTTCACTTACATTGACATATCATTTTCTTGGCTTCAATTCTGCTTTCCAGAACATTGAGATCATGTTAAATCTCAAACCTGCTGACTTGTGAGTATATGGCTCCTATCCACAGATTTGATAAACATGCCTCTTATTTTCCCTCTAAATTGTTAACTACTGTCATGTCAGAGTCAAGCCAGGTCCTGGGGAGGTTACCAAGCCTTTAATGAGATCCCCATTGTCAGCCCTGGCATCCTTCCCACAGCTCTTGATCAATTCACAGGGTTTTTATAAGAGATCTTTGCAATGTCCTGCTGAACTGTTGGATTCATCTTTTTTCCTCTTGAAAAGCCAGTCTGAAAGAGGAAATTTGATAGATTTAGCCTGTTTTGGTTTTTTTTAGAAATATTATTTATGGCCAGGCTTGGTGGCTCAGCCTGTAATCCCAGTGCTTTGGGAGGCCGAGGTGAATGGATTCACCTGAGCCCATGGGTTCGAGATCTGCCTGGGCAACTTGGCAAGACCTCATCTCTACAATAAATAAAAAATTAGCCAGGCGTGGTAGCGCGCGCCTGTAGTTCTAGCTACTTGGAAGGCTGAAGCTGAAGGATCGCTGGAGCCCAGCAGGTCAAGGCTGCAGTGACCAGGAGTGGCCACTGCACAGTCTGGGTGACAGAGTGAGACTCCAACTCAAAAAAAAAAAAAAAAGAAAGAAATATTATTTACTGCAAAACTCGCATACTTTGAGAATAGCTATGTAAAATTAACAGCTGGATGGAGCCACAGAATTGTTTACCAACCAGTCACGTCTCATGAGCAATTGCTCCACATGCACGGACTTGGTTTTGTTTTTGTTTTTGTTTTTTTGCGATGTTAAAACATTTTTAATATTTTTATTGTAAATTGACAATTTATAGTGATTTATGGGATACAACGTGATGTTGCCATCTATTAATACAATGTGGAGTAATTAAATCAAGCTAGTTAACATATCTGCCACATCAAATACTTCATATGTTTGTGGTGAAAATATCTTAGCAATCTACTCTTAGCAATTTACTCTTAGCAATTTTGAAATGCATAATACTCTTATGAACTCTATTCACCAAGCTGTGCAATGGAACTCAAACAAAGAAAAGAGAAAAAACAGATTCCTTCTGCCTACCTGAGATTCTGTATCCTTTGACTCTCCATCTCCACCCCCCCGGCTCTGTAACCACCATCCTACTCTCTGCTTCTATGAGTTAGTTGCTTTAGATTCCACATGTAAGTGAGAACATGCAGCATTTGTCTTTCTGTGCCTTAGTTATTTTATGCAATATAATGTTCTCCAATTCCATCCATGTTACGGCAAATGGCAGAATACCATCTTTTTAAAGACTGAGTCGTGTTCCATTGTGTGTATATACTACATTTGCTTCATTCATGAGCCGATAGACGCTTAGGTTGATTCCACAACTTGACTGTTGTGGATGGTGCTGCCATAAACATGAGGATACAGGCAACTCTTCTAGTAATGAATTTCAAATTTTGGGATAAGGACCTAGAAGTGAGACCGCTGGATCATATGGTAATTCTATTTTTAGTTTAGTTTTGTTTTTTTTTTGAGTTGGAGTCTCACTCTGTTGCCCAGACTGGAGCGCAGGGGCCCCTCCCGGCCACCGCAGCCTCGACCTGCTGGGCTCCGGCAAACCTTCGGCCTCCGCCTTCCGAGGAGCCAGAATTACAGGCACGTGCTACCATGCCCGGCTGATATTTTTATTTATTGTAGAGATGAGGTCTCGCCAAGTTGCCCAGGCAGGTCTCGAACCGGCGGACTCAGGCAATCCACTCACCTCAGCCTCCCAACGCGCAGGATTACAGGCTGAGCCACCGAGCCCAGTTTATTTTTAGTTTTTTTAGGAACCCACAGATTTTTTTCCATAATGGCTATACTAATGTATATTCCCTCTAACAGTGTGTGAGGGTTCCCTTTTCTGCTCACCTTCATCAATACTTATCTTTGGCCTTTTTTGATAAAAGACTATTTTGGCAGGTGTGAGATGTCTCATTGTGGTTTTAATTTGCACTTCCTCCATGAAGAGTGATGTTGAACATTTTTTTCACATATCGGTTGGCCATTTGTATGTTTTCTTTTGAGAAATGTCTATCCAGGTCCCTTTTTAAATTGGGATTTTTGTTTTCATGCTGTTAAGTTATTTGAGCCCCTTGATTTGTTCTTAGTGAATACGAATACAGTGAGTGGTCCTGATAAACACTACGCTATTTTCTTTCTTTTTGAAAATGTTCTTTTTGTTTTGTATTTATTTAAAAGATGTGCTTAGCCAGGTTCGGTGGCTCAGCCTGTAATCCCAGCATTTTGGGAGGCCGAGGAGAGTGGATTGCCTGAGCCTGCGGGTTCAAGACTAGCCTGGGCAACTTGGCGAGACCTCATCTCTACAATAAACAAACAAACAAAAATACCTGGGCATGGTAACACACGCCTGTAGTTCCGGCTACTTGAAAGGCTGAGGCAGACAGATCACCGGGGCCCAGCAGGCTGACACTGGGGTGATCGTGAATGGGCCACTACACTCCAGTCTGGGCGACAGAGTGAGACTCCATCTCAAAAAAAAGGATGTGCTTATGATAAAACAGTTCTGAGCACTACAAAAGAGAGTCGCTATCACAGAAATCTCACACCCAGGGATAATCTGTGAGGCCGATGTGGGTGTGATGCCCCCTGCCTGTCACATCCCCTCAGCCCTAAGATTTCAACTGGGGTGGATGGTCTCTTGCACTTCCAGCACCCCATCAAGTCTGCACCCAGGGGTCTCTCTGCTTTGCTTTCTCTGAAGCCATGAACAGGAACAGCCCAGTACTGCAGAGTGGAGCAACACTCAACCGGGGAAGGGGCAAATACTCAGGTTCATTCTGTATTTTCCTCAGAGGGTCGCCAGCAGGGTAGAACCCCAGTTGCCCACGGCTAAAACCAGCTCATGCATGTACCCCTTCCTTGCCTTTTCTCCCTTCCTGAGTTTTACCTTCCTCATTCCCTCACTTCTGCTTCCCAGCATTACCTCCCAAATAAAGACTCAAGTCCCGGTCTTTTAGAAGCAGCAGAGTCCAAACAAAGATGTTAGTGACCATCTCTCTGCATATATATTTTATGTATATATACTCATATTCCCAGTAATAAACCTATGTAATTTTGCATAAAGGGTATCATACCACACCTGTATTCAAAAACCTATTTTTTAAAAATTGTAGTAGGCAGTGAACACATTTTCATGTCAATAAAAATCCTAAGCAGTTTTTAATGTCTGCATAGTATGTCATCACAGGTGTGTCTCATTTTTTATTTAATTTACTTAATTTATGGGCCTCTAGATAGTTTCCAATTTTGCACCATGATGAGCATGCTTACATCTTTGCAAATGTGCAGTATGGCTCCCTTTGAAAACATTCTGAGATGTATGATTGCTTTATTGTTTCCTAAGTGTATACCGTGTGTTTCATGATTTCTTCTGGAATTTTAATAGAGGTCAATACTAATGCAATAGAGGTCTTAGCAGTTTAGAGGGTTTTTTGGTTGATTTTTTTGTTTTTGTTTTTGTCTATCTTTCCTCCCTTTTTGAAAATCAGGACATTTGCCCATCTTTAGTTTTCTGGCACTTCCTTTCTTCATCCTCTGTAATTTCCTGTAAAACAATGATTGCATCTGCAAATCCCTCTGGGTCGATGGGATGTCATACGTCTGGGCTTCAGTGGGCAAGCTCATCATAGGTGGTCTGACGCCTTCTTCCTACCACTCGCCTCGCCTGGGTCTCAGTTTCCTCCTTATGCGCTGTATTCCACAACATAAAGGAAAATTGCCTGGGCCTTGCTCTGCCCGCCCTCGAGTGCCAAGCCTGAGCAGATTCCTTCTTGTTATCTTCACTTAGACTCTGAAAGCTCTTTGCTCTGACTTTGCCAATTTCCCCCGACTTTTGTTTGCTGGTGCTTCTGTGCCTCGCTAATGCTATTCTT